TTTTATTCACGAGTTGTGAAGAATCGCAAACGAACGAGCGAGTCTTCGAGCGTGCGATTCTTCACAACAAGTGAATAAAAATCGTACAAGCGAACCAACCATGAAGTTATTTGTTAATTTTATAAGTACTGAGATTTCTTTCAAACAATAATGACAATTAACAGCGATAAGACATTGAAATGAGTTTTATTTACTCTTACGCTCCTTAAAGATTCAACATCTTTTCAAAATTTCTAGACAATGAAATGAGTTTTATTCACTCGAAAGCGTAAAAACTTCAACAGTTTCTTTTCAAAATTTCAGCAAAGGGAAAAGAGGAAATTTTATAGCTAGTGATATGAAACAACATATTCATATCATAGCAATGTTTTTACTCATCGTCACTGTCCTGCAAAGGCCTCAGTCTCTTCCATCGCGGCAACGCTTCTGATGGGAGGACTTTTCTTGTTCAGTCTCAAATACGAGGTCATTCATGATACTGGCAGAGTATAGTAGCTGTTCTTTTTTAGATGTCGTTCAATGAAAACTTGCCAAAAGACTTCGGAGCGAAGAAGGCTCATAGTCTTTCCCTTTGGTTCTGACCGAAATGATAAACTCGTAGATGTACTGGTTTAACTCCAATGCTGGAATTTCTTCAACTTCAGCCAAAATGGCATTTTATTAATTGCTAACAAATTTAATATACTGAAACTGATCTATTGTTTAATCAAGAATTTTTGACATATTTTGTTTTCTCTTTTGTTTTTTTTTTTCGTGCAATTCCTGCACCGTAATTTTTAGGGAGTTATTATAACTCCAAAAATGGAGTAACAGGATAACCCCTTTTTGGGGGTTACTCTAACTCCTAATTTAGCTCCGAATTTGGGGTCATTTTTACTCCTGAAAAAGACTTCTTTCTACTCCCAGTCTGGAGTTAGAGTAACTCCGAAATGGGGTCATTTTTACACCTTCCATGGGTTGTTTTCACTCTTTTTGGAGTTAATTTAACTCTGAAAGTGGAGTAAAAATTTTAGGTACAGGATAACTCCTTTTTGGGAGTTATTTCAACTCCTCAATATCTGGGGTCACTTTTACTCCCAAAAAAGAGTTTTTTAAACTCCTTTTTGGAGTTAAAATAACTCCACTATAAGGAGTTAAATTAGCCCCACTAGAGGAGTTATTATAACTCCTTGAAAATTACTGTGTGCGTGAGAGAAGTTTGATACAACAGGGGCACCCAACGCCAATTTTCGGAAAATTTCTGTTCCGAAGACGATTTGAGATCTAGAATTTTCGGAACGTTATTTCCAAAATTTCTTGTTTGTCTGCCTCTCCTAGGATTATCGAACATCTAAAAATGGTATAATTGCCCATGTTTAACGGATTTTTACCCTAAAAAGGTCACCTAGAATTCTCGGGAGCCTTTTTTCTGGCTGAAATTTTCGAAAACGTAAGTTTTGATCCCTATAATTTTCGAATCACTAGACTTTCAGCTAGGAAATCCGAACAGATGGAAAATTTGTAGGGGATAAAAATATGCCTATATCTACCGTTTTAATACAAAAATACATTTAACAATGCTATGTTTAAGTGGTTTTCAACTATATTCTCGTTGGGTGCCCCTGATACAAGGTGGAACCCCAATTTAACGAACCTCCTATAGAACGAATTCCTCGGTATAACGAACGATTTTCTTCAGACTGGCCAAAATTACACTAAAATGTATGGAACAGAACCACTATTTCACGAACCCCGATTTAACGAAACCCTCGTTATAACGAAGCAATCCAGAAGCGCAATCGTAAAATATACCTCGATATAACGGATAAAATGTCATTATGTGATAAAAGGTGAAAGCCAAACAGACCAACAAAGATAAAATTTATGTGTACAGCAGTTGTATCCGTTTTGTTTGCCCTTTCTTGAGTTTCTAGTGACGTAGCTATATACAGCTCGGTACGAGGCGAGAACAAATGCTATTGCAGTAATTGCTCAGATCCGAGAATACTGGATTTTGCAAATTTCTTGTAAATATCAAAGTGGAGATTTGAAAACCGGGTTAGCAAAAAAAAATCAACTCATTCTGTGACTTGGCAATTGAAAACAATAAAAAAATCATTCAAAGGCCGATTAAAAGCCTTTATCTGACGCCGGGCAGTAAGTTAGTGGTTCCCAGCAGCATTTCAACGAGTCCGAATTTAAAATGACGCAAATTTAAGAACATTTATTCAGTAATCTGACTCCGTGAAGTTTCAAACCGGTGTCATTTCAGTCTAGACTGAATTTTTAAGTTGAGTGAAGTGCAGCCAAAAAGTGCCTAGTTAAGGCTTACATGTCAACTTAAATAGTTAGCAAAACACTACTTTTCGCGGTCCTATAAACGACAGGATTTCGCATGGAATGGATAACACACTGATTGAAACGCAGTACACAAATTATCACCTTCTTATCTGCAAAAACCGGCCTGAATGGTTCAAGGCCAAGAGCCCGCTGAAACTAGACCTAGATCCAATATTCCCGAGTCGAAAATTGGTTGTTCAAGGCACGCCGAGGGCAAACTAAATATTCCAAAGCCCCGCACAAACTACTTGAAAAATAGCTTTAGCTATACTGGTGCGGTGCTTTGGAATAGTCTGCCAGTTGGGTTACGGCAAGCAAAAACACTAGAAAGCTTCAAAGCCGGGCTGCGGTAGTCGAGTCATTTTACTACAATTAGTTATAGTTTTTAGATTAGTAATGCACGGCTCTCGTGGAAAGCAGGGTTTTATATTTTATATTTTATATTTGTAAATAAGTAAAGTAGTAATATATAAAATTAGTTGTAATTTTAAATTTTAAATTTTAATTAATTATTATAGATATGCCTGATGAGACAACCGTGGATAAATAAAGTATTCTTCTTCTTCTTCTCTTCTTCTTCTTCAATCAGCTAAGCTAAACGCCGACGAAACGTTTTTATGGCTCACACAGAATATATAGGTGCAACAGCTCACTGATACAACGCGACCACATACCAGTCAACACCGTGCGGAAATCACACAATCACACACTTTCGCGGCACTGATACGACTATCCACAACCACGCAAAATCTTTTCACGTTTAACACGAGCGAAATATCATCAAATAACTCGGAAAAACGCAGCCTACTAGCAGATAAACACCTCTTGACTTTTCTCTCTCACTCATCTTATTCAAGTTCCCGGATGTAAGGTCACTCGGTTGTCAGACAAGCATAGATCCTATTTTCACACCACAAAAGAAGTCAGTGGCCCGGGTCAAAGTTCACCTGCAATTTTGCTCTTGCCTAATTCATTTGACTCCTAAAACTCTGTTCCCGAGGCCAAAGACTTGGTGGTCACCTTAGAAAAGCGAACAATATCGTACCTTTCTGTCTCAGCCCGGATCAGGGTGATTGCTCCGCTCAGCCAAATGAAACGAGAATACAATACGATAGTGGGCGATACAGACTCTGCGAATTGTGTTAACTTTGTCCCATCTCAGAGCTTTACATGAAGCTCTCCGGGAAACTTTTCTTAAGGTGACTAATAACGAAATGTAAGCTGCTAAACGGTAGCCTAAGTATCAGGCGTTTCTGGGGGGAAAGGGGAAAGATGGAAGCGAAAAAGGGAGAGAGCTGAAGGAGAGAAACTAAGGAATCCAAAATAAGTCAGCAAGAAGCTCCGATTGGCGCCAAAACGAGTAGTAAGGCTAAACTTTCAAAACTCGCTTTGCTCAAGTTCCCTGGCGATCCCACAGAATGGACAACACTTCGGGACAGTTTCTCGTCCGCCGTCCATCTAACTATCATTTAAGCGAGGAACTCAGCGAAAGCGACAAATTTCAGTATTTGAAATCTTTGTTAGTGGGAACTGCAGCCGAAACTCTTTCGGGTTTGCCTTTGAGCGGGTCGATAATTTCCCGTGGGTCTGTTCTTGCCAGTGCATAACATAATTTGGCCCCCCCTTCGAGTCTGCTCATGAAATAAGATGACCCGCCCCCAACCGCAGAAACAGTTTTAATACAACTTACAATAAAACTCACCGAAGTGTTACAGAAGTAAATGCGCTTTTTCCATGAGTAATCTTTTAGCTTCTAGAAATTGTGATTTTACGTCAATATGCAAACTGATAAGATTAAACATCTTTTATTTAACTAATTTTTATTACGATGAAAGATGGACTGCTGACGTTTGATATATTAACAGTTATCTCTTTTGGAATCAGCTGAATCAGCTTTAATGCTCGGACATCTTGTCCCCAACTTTGACATTGGTTTAATTAATTTCTATCTTTAGAATTAATTGAACGTTAATGAGTAAAACCTATAATCAGATAAGTTAAAAGGGATAGACTATAAAAACAGCAAAAGTCTGTGATAAATCGAATGAAGAAGAACACGAATAGTGAGAAGTAAAGGATAAAAAGCAGTCAACGAACTGAGAGAGATAAGAGAAGAAAAGTGAAGGGACAGAGAAACTGTCCCGCAATAAGAAACTCAGTTAAGGAAACTGTAAGTCTATTACTTAAAAATAAATCCTATTGTCCTTCTGAGAACGACTCCATCACTACGTCCTGGTCAAGCAAAACCTCTATAGCTTATCATTTGTGGAAAGTTCGTTTACAGAAGTATTTAAATTAAAGCAAATAGCGAGTAGCCCTCCTCCCAGATCTAGTAGTTGTCACTGTGATCTGAATATCATCCCCTTCCTCATCATCATCCTCTGAACTCGAGCCAATCTCGGCAAGGACATAGTCTGTTTGAACGCTTTCATCATCAGAAGATAAGTATTCCTCTTCATTTTCACTAGTGCAGAGTGGACTTCCCTCTTCTTGTGTAAAACCCTGTATCTGTTATTGAATAATATGCCTTTCCTTCTTTCTTTTGTCTTTCTTAAGATCGAGTAATGTCAAATACTCTAGATAGTCTTTCACGCATCCCTCAGCCACAACAAATTCTTTTAAGAATTTCGAGATACTGGTGGGATCATCCAAGGAGCACCTCCCTGATTCGTATGCTGGTTTCAGCTGTACCCTTGGCATGTAATCATCGACAAGCCTGTTGTTTGCTGGGGTTTTAGAAAAAAGGTAATGATGCCCATCACTTTCGTTGTCAGGAAATGGCCTCGCAACATGTTAAATCTCCTCACAGCATTGTTCTCTTGTGCTGTTGCAGAAGTCGCAGTGCTTTCACCATTTTCTTTACAGGCTACTTTTAAATATTCAAGGAACATCTCTCCAATGATACAGTGGCTATCCATAAATGAATATACCGTAAAATTGCGAAAATAAGCCCCGGGGCTTATATTTTTTAAAGACCCTTTTTGAGGGGCTTATTTTTGGAGGGGCTTATATTCGGAGGGGCTTATCTACGGAGGGAAATTTGCTTTTCAAAATCGATTGGGCTAGCCTTATAGTTGGAAGTGAATTTACCGTTTTTGCTTTGTTTTACTTTGTATTTGAGGGCAATTTTCCAAGTATAAGCCCCCGGGGGGGTTATATTTGGAGGGGCTATTTAACAGAAGTTTTTTTGCGTTACCGGTTTGGGGGGCTTATATTTGGAGGGGAATTTTACGGTATCTTCCTAAAGTAGTGGTATTCAGGAACAGAATGTTTTGCAGCATCTGTTTTAGCATTTGCATACTTCATAAGATACGATTTGTTGAAAAAGAACTGACAATTTGATGCTGTAGTTGTATAGCACTTTAAGTGGTCTTTAGCAGGACCAGGTTAATCGTCAACCATAGCTGTCACCTCTAGCCACTTCCCAAGCATTCTTTTCCATACAAATTGCCTCTCTTTCTTTTACTTCCGAAGCAGATAGTTTCTTTATCTCTGTATCTGTGAGGCCATCAAAGGGCTTGAAATACTCCCATTTTAATGCTGTTCCATCTACCAGGGCATCACCTATTGATGCATTTGTTCTCTCAGCCTCGTTTTGTGCAGAGTCCCCTGGAGCGCGGTGAATTCTATTAACGCGCTCAGATGATTGTATTCTTGCAATTTCAAAATCGCTAAAACGCACTTCAATGTTGGTTACACCGACTCCAGGGCCTGCATCAGTGGTTTTGAGAATGTTCTAGCAGAACTTGGGACATCTCAAATGGTCTAAATCATTGAGGCATTGCTAACAATCTCTTAAGATATCCTTCGTTACATCCCACAACTTTCCCTGTCGTGTATGCGCTAACATTTGTGTTTGAACCGATTCTACCGTTTTCCGAAGACCCGAGAGCGTTTCCAGTAGTTCACTTCCTATTTCTTGCTCAGATTGCAAATGAACAGCCTCTTTGTATTGGATTGTGATATAGCTGATTTGATTTTGAAACGAAATAAGCTGCTCCTGCTCGTAGCAGAAGTACTTGCAACCTCTTTCAGTTTTAACGCGCATAACATCTTCCTCCATTGTCAGATCAGTTAAATAATAGACGACATCATAGGAACAAATAGCTAGCCTTTGCAACTCAATGCTCAAACTAGTGTTCTATGGACTCTCCTGAAAGAGTTTGGGAACTCCATAACTTAAGCGCATGTAATCTGAGGCCCATAAGCTACCACCACTCCCAATGAAGTATTTTGGACGAATGATGACCAGGCTTGGATCTTGGTCGCTCATTAATTCATCTTTTTCTTGGATATTTTCAATGTGCTGCTTAATCAATCGAAATGATGCAGGAGTCTGATTTACTTCAGGATTGTTAAAATCGTGTTGCTTCAGTTTCTTCTGCTCATTAGGATCACAGACATCATATATTACACTAGCTTTCGTATTTCTCGCTCCCACATCTGTGCCAGGCCGTAAATATGCCTTATCGTCCATACTGACGACAAGAATATGCTCTTTCTGACTTACAGAAAACATTGCATTGTAAGCTTGCAGTGGTATTCAAAAAATGAGCACGCTGGTGATGTGTGCTCACTCTGTCATGGTCTTCTGTTTTCGGAGGTTTCTTGGTACACCAGAGCCACTTTCCAACATGTTACTTGACAGCAGTAGACCTCACATTTTTGGGCTTTCCTCGATTCGCTACTGTGGTTGCTGATTTTATAAGCTTTTTACCACGTTTCATGAGCGAATAGTTAGCGAGAGAAAGGAAGTCTATTTTCTTTACTCTGTTGTTGGTATATAGCGTAGTTTCATGCCGTCTTCCGTGACAGGTACTTTTTGTTGAAATTGCCTTGGCTATGAAGGTTTCGTTTTCTGAATACAGCAGTTGTGGTGCCCCTGCCCTAACTTTCTCTTTTTTAGTCTATTTGTAGCTACAAGATCTTGAGCAATTTTGCGCATTCTTTGCTGTGCTTTCCTCTGGGAGGAAGCACTTTCATTTTTTTTCTAAGTCCTTTAACTTAGCCAACCTTTCTGTTAAGGCATCTTTTTCACCTTCAAGTTCGCACTTCCACCTTTCTGAAAGTAATGATTTATCTAATTTCGTATCAAGGTTCTGAACCTTTTTTTCTACATTCTCAATTCCCGTACGTGTTCTGAGCTTCATAATGTCTTCAGCTGCCTTAAATGCATTCTCGCTTTCATCTGCTACAGTCAAAACTTTGGAAAGAAACTTGACTGCCCTGTCTGGCTTGATTCCCAGTTCATATGTTTGAGATCTTGAATGAAGCGCAAATATAACTGCTTTTAGTGCCATGGGATCATATTCTGTGTCCATTGAGTTCAATATCTTGTTTAGCAATTCAGAGTCAAGAGGAAATCGTCGACCACTCAAACGACTCATTGTATTTTCTTCTGAAAGTTTTTCGAGCGCTAAATTAAGTCCTAAATACTAACCTCCTCATTCTTCAATAAAATATAACGTTTTCCAAACACTTCAGTTATAATAAACACAAGCCATGATCTCTATGGAGTAAATGATCTCGGAAGGAACCTTCTTCAGGAGAGCTATCAAAGAAGCCACAATAAAGCCCATAAGCATCTTCAAAGGAAATGACACCAATTGCTCTGCTCGAAAGCTTACTTTGTGCAACCAGGTGATTTAAGATGTAAATCAAGCCATTCAATATCTTGCCCAGTAACTTGATTAGTACATTTAAGCAATCCCTCTACCTTGTCCAAGTTGTTTCCCACTTTACACGTTTGAAGGGAACTGCGAAGGTGTTTTCCTACACAAGACCCGAATCTTGCTTTGCTTCTTAATTGAGAGAACGAAAAGCTGCCCTCTTTTCCAGTTGATATAAACTTAAATTCCTGTTCACAAGGTCCATCCTTCTCTGACTTGTTGTCGTTGATCTCGATATCCGCCATGTTTTATAATTCCATGCTTTGAACCACTGAAGGACTGGAACTTTTGCTGCCGGTACTCCAGGGATTCTTGTGTAAATTCAAAATGGCAGATGAAACACAGGCTAATGAACACTCGTTGCAAGGATTTCTAGAATTTGCCGATTTACGGCATTTCCAAAAGGGCCTTTGCAGGGAAGGAGTCAAAAAGTTAGATCATCTTCAACAGGTTGATGAAAGTGACCTGAAAGTGACTTTGAAGGTATAAGAATACGTGGTGGCCATACGTGGTATCATGAAGTTCAAGTTACATTCATTAATATCTACCTCTCAGGTATGTCCAAGGTTAAGGTGAAATGTTTTTTTAAGAAAGAGAAAGGAATAGTTAAAAGAAAAAGCACAGGAATGTGATGCAAATAAAGAAAAATCCAGTGCATCAACAGGTCCCTCTACAAGTTATCAAACATTGAGTTTTGGGGTATTGAATTTCAAAGGCCAAGTAATAAAAACGCGCGTCCTTGGGAGCAAACCAAATATGGCTGGATACCAAACCCAAAAACGGACAGACAGAGCAAAGCTCATGAATGAAGTGCTGCCCAAATTCTACAAGGCATGTTATAGCAAGTGTAAAGATGCTCGTGAATTCGTGAAGCTATTTCACTGCGAAGGAAGACGCCAATATGAAAGCCATCAACATGTTTCAAAGATTTCCACAACTGTTGACACCATATTGAGTAACAGAAATCCTGGCGCTGCGGGAAAGTTTTTTGACGAGCAATATGTTCACATACCATCAGACCAGTTGATTCTAAGAGGAATATACAAAAGCTAGTTAAAGTACAAGAGGAAATTGAGAAGGAAGAGCAAGATATCAAAGATCACCTGAACAGCCTCTATTCTAAGTCTGACAAACTTAAAGATGGGAAGGGGAGCCAAAGAGATTTTGATGAGGAAAGGATCACAGTGCTGACAATGCTCAGGAAAAAAATTATCCAACACATTCAACATCTACAGGATGCAGAGAACAAATGAAAGAATAAGTTTCATGGACACATTCTGAAGTTTAAATCAAAAAAGCGTTCAAAAAGAGGAAATAAGAGAAAGGCACAGCTAGACGAGAAAATCTGGACGAGAAGAAGAGAATTTTGGTTTAATCTCCAAAGTACTGTCTGATGGTGAGATCCCAGTTAAGGAAGTCAATGTCAGGCTGCTCTAGTATCCTTAAAAGGGACGCAAGTTTACCGGCTAAAGCAAATGATTTAAAGAGGGCTTATAAGTGATCAAGGTTGTACACTGATTAAAGAATACTTGCCCTCTATCAGCTCTTCAAATAGTGAATCAGAGGACAGTGATATTGAGTAATAATGAGTAATACATGAACTTTTCTTTTCCAATGTGAGAGGACTGCTATACACCATGCTATGTTGGTCTGTTATGCCATCATTTTGATGATAAATAATACCCGTCAGGGTTGTTTCTTTTTTGTGGAACGGAAATTGGAATGCACAAAAATACATGGCCCCTCAGAAACGGTTGAACAATTTTATGCAGCCCCCCATTCTCAGGTGCACAAAAAGGTATGACCCCACCCCATTTGCACCAGCCCACCCCCCACTAATAAATGACCGGTCACTTACAACCGTGCGGTCGATTTTGTCCTGAAGAGGTTGGGAAGCAAAAATTTAAGTAGTTATTTAAAAAGACCTTGAAATGTTGATGCAGCTGACAAAACTGAATAATTCCAGTGATTTGAAACAACTACGGCAAGTTTTGGACAAAACTGAAGCGGCCATCCAAAATACCGCAAGAGTTACCTCTTATTTTAAGTCGGGGTATGACGAATAGGACTTAGACACGGTGATGAAATCCTTGGCGGAAGAATTACAAATACGGGAAAGGTGGATGCTGGGACCTGTTTCAGAACAGACGTTAAGGTTGGGGGTGAAGGAAAACTCAGACGTCGGATTTGGATTTCGACACGGTCAAATCAGGATATCTCCCACTTCATCAACGTTGTTTTCAAACGAAGAAGGACCACTGCCAAACATGTGGTGTGCCTTTTGCAACGGCCCTCAGCCGTCAATCAGGTGTGCTGTTGTCACTGATCCTGAGACATGGAAGAACATTGTCCGACAGAAAGGACGATGTTTTGGTTGTTTAAAGACAAGTCACATCATATTTTTTATGTGGAAATGCAACGTCGAACAAAGATTAACAATGAGTATGCGAACACAAAACTCGAGGCTGAGAAGGATGGAAAAAAAATTGTCCCTTTGAGAATCAGGCTGCACTGCCGACTGGCCCATTCCTTTTTCTCAGGCATGAATTTGTTCCGATATTTAATTGAAGACCACGTTTGTTAACTCATTTGTTTTAAGCAGTACGGTCAAACCGGCATTAAGCGGTCACAATTGGAGAATTCGCCTCATGTCATTAGGGAATCCAAGACTACCTTGCATTCTGGATTCCAGGTTCAGGAATTCCAGTCATTGTCATTGGAACTTGGATTCTGGATTCCAATAGTTAGGGGGCTTCCAGATTCCTAGCCTGCGTAGCAGGAGTCGAAAGGGGTAGGCTCCTTCCCCATCTCCCTCCCCTTTTTGCGCCTGCCACGCAGGCTACCAGATTCGTTGCGCTGTATGCTGGATCCCAATGTGCAGGATTCAGGATTCCACGAGCAAACGTTTCCCGGATTCAAGGTTCTACAAGTCAAAATATCTTGGATTCCGGAATCTGGATTCCCTTATAAGGGGAGAGAGAATGGTAAACCTAGTTAGGAGTTATCAAAAAACTGAATAAAGATGGTGACAAAGCGAAATATCCACAACAAGACAAATTAGTCCACCTTTAAGTGTTTCTAACTCTCCTTGTGTCAAAGGGAAGTGAGTAAAAGACCAGCCAAGGCCAGTGTATCCACTGCACTTGTATGGTACATAGTGTCCATTTAATAGAGGTGAAGATAATAACAAGTAACGCTCGCTTTGACTACGGAAAAGGTACCCGCGACCGCTTAACATACGTGACCGCTTAATTCAGGTCAATTCCAGAGTAATTAAGGGGCATTCTGATTCTTGTTGTTTCTGTTCGTTTTTGCGAGAAATAATGTTGATTTGAGAGGGAAACAAATTGAGGTAGAAAAGATATACTCATGAACCAGTTAGTCCGCTAATGAGATCAGAGGCAATTGGTTTTCGTTATCGACTAGCTAGTATTAGTCTACTACATTTTTCATAATTTTAACCCCCTCCCCAGTTTTTCTTCATTAAAAAGATTCGAAAAATTAACCAAACATTCCGTCTCACACATTTCCTGAACCAATGACCACGACCTAATGGAACCTTTTTTGATTGAATGAAATTTTGGCTTGACTAGTTGACCAGAGTCTTCCCTTGAGGAAAAATATTTTCGGGACTTTAGAAAGTGACCCCTTAATAGAGTGTGACAGCTTAATGCAGGTCCACTTTATAAAGAATTTACTCTAGGTGGAAAACAAAATTGGACAAAGCACTGTCACACCACGAATCGTAACTTGGCAAATAGGTATCCTTATTCTTCTTACGTTATAATGTACAGTTCGTCAGTAATGG